GAGCCCGAACCGCCCGATGAAGCGATCCCCTGGTTTTTAAACCCTGACAAACACAGCTGCTTTGCGTCCAATCCTCTTCTATTTCATTATTATTGCAGTTTTTCGACTGAACGCTTTTATCGATATTTGGTCCCTGCCATCTGCATCCTAGGTTTTCGATGCGATTGTAAATATTCTCTCTTTGTGCTTTAAAAATTGTTTTGGAAGATTCGGAGAGTTGGCCTTGGAAGAGCATGAAAGCATCTTTTTGGGGGTAGTTTTCGATTTGGAGACACAAACTCCAGCAGTATTATTTTCCAGGTTAAGGCCAGGTTACATCAATAAAACGTGTTTTTTTAAATAAATTTTGTTTATAGTAAAAAAAATATTTCAGAATCACACTTTTTACAGCTGAAAGTACATATATTAAACTATTTGAAAAAAAATTTCTTTTCTTTTTTTTAAATGGCGGCTCTGAAAATGGCTGCTCATACTCGTCCAATTTTTTTGGCGGTTGTCATCATTTTTTGGAAACGAATCATCTGAAAGCAAAAAATAAAACGGTTTCATATTCTGTGTCGAATTGGCTATGGTCGGTACTACAGCCAAAAATATTCATTGTTATTTAAAAAAGTTATAAACAATTAAAAGTGCAAAAAAAGGGTCGAAAAATTCAAAAGTCCGCCATTTTGTTTTTTTTTTCTGTGAAAATGTTTCATTGTAGTACCAACCATAGCCAATTTAATACAGAATATGAAACCGTTTTATTTTTTGCTTTCAGATGATTCGTTCCCAAGAAATGACGACACCCGCCAACAAATTGGACGAGTTTGAATAGCCATTTTCAGAGCCGCCATTTAAAAAAGAAAATTTTTTTTTCAAACAGCTTAATATATGTACTTTCAGCTGTAAAAAATTTGATTTTGAAATATTTTTTTACTATAAACAAAATTTATTTAAAAAAACACGTTTTATTGGTGTAACCTGGCCTTAAACCCTTTGCACTCGAGAGGTGACTCTCAGTCACCACTAGATTTTCTTTAGATTTAATTTCTTTGAAACTCGAAGTGCCAATAAAATGATTGTCGTTGAGCCAAAGGTGACCTAATTCTCAAATCTCATTTTCGAAGTCAATTTAATCTTAACATTCGTGGCAATAGAATGCTAAGAAAGCATCTCGAGTTGCTGGTCGATACTAAAAAAAAGGCCTCGAGTGCAAAGGTTTAGGTGTCCGTGTTTAAAATGGGCCTGTTTTGTGATTAGTATTATTCTATTATTTCACATACATAAAGTGTTTCTAAAGTTTCTATGTTAGTCAAGAAGAAGTCTAATTCAGAGCCCGAAGAATTTCAATTTGACCAGTGGTTCTACGAAAGAAAATTTTCTCTAAGCATTCTCCAAGCATGATCTACTTAAAAAAAAACCTTAAAGTACTACACTACAGAAACTACTAAAGAACCACACTAAAGAACCTACTACCAATTCCCTAATAAATGTGACCAAATATCACAAAATACGAAGCGATAAAATAACCCTAACCATCTACAGTGGGTGTTGAATGTATTCGTACACCGATCAATTTGTCAAAAAACTTTTCTGTGAAATTGTAGTTTCTTAACTTCTTTTTTATAATCAATGATAGCTTACATATTCACGAAAGTCTATAAGATAGATATAGTCCAAACAACATTTACTAGTTAATATAATTTGTAAAATTAACAAAAAATTGCGAAAAGTGGGTAAAAGTATATAAGCAATAAGTATGTGTACGATTCTTATGACGAACCATTTACAGCAGACTTTGTAACGTAAACACATTAATTTATTGCCTCGTACGAATTAGAAAATATCAAATTTCCAGTAAAACACTTTTAAAAAAGGCTCTAATAGAGGAATAGAAGAAGATCCCACTTCGAATAACTAATAATGTAGTTAATTTAATGCTTAGAAAAGTTACAATAATTATAAAATCAAAAGGACATTCCACGAAAGAAGTATTATATACTTATAAATTAATGTAAATTTCTTTCTTTTTAATGAAGTTTCAAGAGTTAAGCAGTCGTGCGAGTACTTATTGCTTCAATATTTCTATCGATTAATTGTTTTTTCTCGTTAATTTCGCAACTTACATAAATAGCTATATTTTTTGTAATCTATCTATTCTACAGATTTCCGAGAATATGTAGAATGACAATGTTTATCAAAAATAAGTTGATAAATTACAATTTTACACAGTTTTTTGGAAAATTGATCGGTGTACGAGTACATTCTACACCCACTGTAAATTTGATCGAGTTAAATTCCAAATTCTCAAATTAATATTTCCCCGCGAGATATTTCCTAAAGACAAAGTGTCTCGTACGAAATTCCAATGTCCCCGTTTCCCGACGAGATCGAGTGTTGCCTTACCAGGGAGCGTCTTTTCTGATACGACATTGTCCTCTCTATTCAGAGTCTTTGGAGGAGCGGAGAGTGTTTATAGTGTGTCATGGATGAACAGCCGCGACTGACAAGTGTTCGCCTGAGGACGGAGCGGATCGAGCCGGCTGCTTATAAGGATGACTGAAAGAAATTACCAGAGTGGTGGGTTCACTGAACCTAGTTGGAACTTTGCGCGATGAATGCACGTGTAATGCGCGCATTGCCGCGACGGTGGGGTGAGGTAACGAGAAATTGAAGAGAGATCAAAGTGTGCAGTCGGAATCTTCGAAGAGCGAGGATCTGTACGAGAGTTGATGAGTCAGTGGTGAAGAGGAGTACAAGAATGTCGAGGAACGAGATACAGTGTGTGGACTCGGAGGCTGGGGATAGACTTTTCTCGGATTACGTGTCGAGTTAATTTTGAGTTGGACAAAAAGATTCACGGGGAATTTGCATTGGTTAGGTATCTGTGATGGACTTGTGGAGGGTTCCTAGATCTCCTCTGTTAGCAGTTCTTGTGTCAAGTTCTCTCGATACTATTCGACTCTGCTCTACTTTATTTTACTCTACTCCTCGGTTGGCAATTCTTGTGTCAACTCTATACTACGCTACTTTACTCGAGTCTGTTCGAGTCTATTCAAATCTACTCAAGTCTACTCGAATCTACTCGAGTCTACTCAAATCTACTCGAGTCTACTCAAATTAACTCAAGTCTACTCAAGTCTACTCTACCCTACCGTACTGTACAGATAATCCTTTCTTTCACCTTTCCTTCATTTTCGACAAACGAATCATTAACCTTCTTTTTTAAGCAATTTTGTAACGATACTTTTCCACTCACTTATCACATGTCATCCAGAGTTCAGTCATCACCTAACACTACCTTATTTTCTAACTCAATCATTACTTGCTCCACTCGAAACTCCCCAAATCGACCTCAAAATAGAAAACAATAATGCCATCGCTAATAAAAAAAAAAGCTTCTAAAACAGCCATCATCTACCATACCCCAAACAAAACTCTACCGTAAACGTGCACATTAATCGTATACACGTAAACGCAACACGAGTGGATCACGAGGATAATATATTCCAGGTCGCCTATAGCTCACGAGAACACTTTGCTCGGCTTCCCAGGAATTCTAACGAGTCGCAAGACCGAGGAGCTATAGGTCGATGATGAAGACGGCGCGGAAAGCGTTTCGCGCGCTTTAACAATCGCCTAACAACTCCCAGCGCTCAAGTTTCCTTAACTAGTTCGCCCCCGAAACTCCGAGTTGACGAGTGCCTGGAAGTAACTATTCACGCTATCGTGGAACGAATTCCAGCGAGATAAACAGCTCTTTCGCGACTATAATGTGGTCGTCGAACACCGACACTTCCGGTTGAGGCTTCTTCTTCGGTTTACATTCTTGTTACACAAGAGGCTGGTAACACTGAAACTATCGAGAGAAGGAGCAAACTAATTTAATGACAAAATTGAGTTTCTGTTGCGATACTAATTCTAAAAAATTATCGGAAGATCGCTATTAATAATTGAGTGATTTTAACACTAGATTTACGGAGCACGCTCATTTTCACACGTATATTAAGCTGGCGTAGCCACTTCAAAAGGCCAACGCCAAATTAACAGGATCTTTTTTTGCTATTTATTTGCTAATTATTTGCCAAAGAATTAATTTTTTTGCTACAGCCGTTTTCGAGAAACGATGACCGTGCTAGGGCAGCGTTAATCTAGCATAGCCTAAAGGCTGTACAATGCTGATTGTAGATATGTACAGAAAAAAGGATGAAAGATGTGATTTAGAGCAAATAAATAGAAAACAAATAGCAAAAAAATATTGTGTTAATTTGGCATTGGCCTTTTGAAGTGGCTACGCCAGCATAATACACGTCAGTTTCACCCATATCTACTGTTACAAGGTTTCACAGGAACCGTTTATATTTTTCACTAGCCACTTGTGTTGACATTTGTATGAATAAAAAGACAAGCATGTATCCAAATTCATTTTTGTCTAAGTCTTCTAATTAACACGTTGATTACCAGACAAATATTCTTGAAAATTTCTGTTTGGATTTAATATTATTTAGACTGTTGGACTACATAATGAAACATCTATCGCGGTATTTATTTTTGTAACTTCATCAAAATTCATGAATTTAGTTTAAATTTATTTCCTTTAATGCTTCGTGATTCATTTTTTTTTTATTAACCCTTGTATTAACCCTGTATTAACCCTTTGCACTCGAGAGGCGACTCTCACTCACCACTACGATTCACGCAGCAAATCTACCAGCAGTAATGTTTCTTTAGGTTTAGATTCTTTGAAACTCGAAGTGTCGATATAATGACAATCGGGCTACGTCGTCGTAGTCAATCTAAGATTAGCATTCGTGGCAAGAAAATGCTAAGAAAGCATCTCGAGTTGCTGGCAGATGCAAGAAAAAATACCTCGAGTGCAAAGAGTTAATATTAGTAAATCGACTTTACTTACTACAGCATTACTTCGATAATAGAAACCTCCGAAATCTCCGTAAACTCTCCGATTTTACACGATTTTACACGATTCCGTTTCGAAGAATTTCGACGATATGGCTCCAAGTACGAAGGGTTCGTTATTACCTAAGCAAAACCTAACCAACCAGTCGATGCGTCAGCATTTAGGTGCCACTATATCAGCCATACCACGACTTGTAACGGGTGTAGTCGGTAGTAACACGCTTATTGCGGTTTTCGGGTTGTTTGTCGAACACGGTGATAAATAATAACCATCTCGAGGCGCGCTCTTGCAACAGTTAATCTCCACAGTTGGATAACCGTGTTTGCCTCCCGAGAGGCCACGTTGTTTACCAGACACCCGCCTAAATTACCCGCTACGTTCGCTATCGCGAGAACTCACCGCGCTTGATAAGTTTCTTTATTGCCCTGTCGCGGCCTCTTCCCGAAAAAGGAAACACGCGTTATTCACGCGCGTTTGTTTCGCGCCAGAAGCACTTTGCGCCGCGTGTGTGTCGTTTAAGATACCAAAACGATCGAGCTGAGGAAAACAACAGGGTTGGAAGATGTAACAATAAGCTACTCGGTGCCTCGCGACGTTCAAATATTTGAGAGAACGAATTTATGTTCACCAAGTGCATCTCCCTTTTAAGTCACCGCTGGAAGCTTTAATTATCGCCGACGTTGCGCGGCGAATGTAAATATTGCTCAAAGAAAGCGCGGGTCGAAAACCGCGAGTCGAATGTTTGCGGAACTCTCGTATTCGATATTGCGGATGCGACTGTGAGAAGCAGAATGATTTATGTGATGGGGCTGGTTTCTGTGCATTTATTGTAGACAAATTTGTGCAGTTACGGAGACATTACCGTATCTCCAAAACCATAAGAGATATTGAACATATTTTAAACATAAAATGTTGAAAATAGATATATTAGCATTCTATAATGCGAAAATAAATAAAAGAAAATGTGTATGTGTGTTATCCGTGTGAACTTCAACGATAACGAGGAAGACTATATATGATTTGACTAGTTAGTCGACGACATATGATCTATGCAAACATGCGTGAATAGAGAGCGCTCAGTTAATTTTTATTTCGCCAGTTTTTCTTTCATTTTTGTATTCAACTTCACACAGTATATATAGTAACTGTTCCTTATTCAAGTTCATTATTTATTGTACATTATTAATCTTCCAATATAAAGATTTTTCAACAATTTCAAAATAAAGTTTAATGGTTTTTAAGGTTTTTTTGTTTTTTGAAACTGATCTAATAGAAAAACTAGATAGGACTACAGGAGTCTGATCAGCGCTCAAATGAAACATTTACCTAAATAGAAGTGCTGGTTTTTGTGCATTTATCGTAGACAAAGTGTAGTTATAGAGACATTACTCTGGGATCAAATTACGCGCCAGCCGTAGATATGGCGCGCGTTATGAGGTGTGCATGAGTGTATGTTTGAAGAACGCGAATCAGGAAGCATGATAGATGGAATGTTTGTAAACGATTGTATGATTGGCAAGGTTGGGAACAGAGAGCAAGGAAGAATGAGTGCGAGAGAGACAGGGAATACAAGAGACGATGAGCGAGTGTGAGGATAAATGTTAGAATGTAAGGAGAAGCGTGAGTAGTTTGAAGAATAAAGAATTTTTGTAGAAGCGTATAAGGGTTTTGATATTAGTCCCTGGAATTCCTACATTACTGTCACTCCGAAACCATAAGAAATATTGAAAATATTTTAAATACATAATGGTTTTTAAGGTCTTTCGTTTTTGGAAACTGATCTAACAGAAAAACTAGATAGGCCTACGAGAGTTTGATCTGCACTCAAATGAAACATTTACCTAAATAAAAGTGTTGGTCTGTGCATTTATCGTAGACTAATTTGTGCAGTTATGGAGACATTACCGTATCTCCGAAACCATATAAGATATTGAAAATATTTTAAACACAAAATTTACTGGTTTTTAAGGTTCTTCGTTTCTGTAAGCTGATCTAACAGAAAAACTAGATGGGCCTACAGGAGACTGATCTGCACTCAAATGAAACATTTACCTAAGTAAAAGCGTCGAGCAACAAATGAAGCTACAGTTTAATTCGATATTTCTTAAACAAAATACAAACAGTTCCATAAGTATTCGTACTCTATACATGTATTGAAGAGATTCGTCTAAATTAAATGATCGATGTGATATTTCTAAATAAATGTTTCATTATAAATATTTACACGAATGGGCTTCGCACGTACGTATTTATAATGAAACATTAATTTGAGAACTACAAATCTATCATTTAATTTAAGCAAACGTTTTCAATGGACAAAGGAGGTATAAATACTTATGGGACTGACCGTGAGCCACGATGAACGAAATACCGTGCGGCTAATCGAATAGTTACGAATTAATTGCCAGGCGATGATTGTGTTCGTTATCCGTCGCTCGAATAAAACTTTTGGCCATCTCTGGAACGAGTGGATAACTAGACAAGATTGAAATCAGATTGCATGCTCATTCGACGAGCGATTGACGAAGCGATTCGCGCGTGCTCGCGCGACCGGGGATGCATGCAGACTAATTGAGAACAATTCGAGCGCTAAACGAACGCAACCGACGGCCCGGGGAAAATGCGCCGTCGTGTGCGACAGCCGGAAGAAATTCTGAATCGAATCAGACGGACGAACGGATTTTCCGAGTTTCGCCTCTGCCTCTGCCGCGAAGCGTCGATCTGTAAAGACATACGCACACATATACACCCCCTCAGTCGCCGAACGTTTTCCTTCCTACGTTTTCTAACGCGGTAGTTGATCGAAGTCACTAGCGATCAAATGACGCGTGGGGTAAGTTCGTCCTCCTTTATCAGGAGTTGTAGAATAGTAGAAATCTTTGTTTCGGGGATACTGGGTATATTGAGGCATTCTTCTGAAGCTTCCAATTTGTTTTAATTGGTTTTTAGTTGGAAATTAAAAGGAAAATACTGCTGGTAAATATTACTTTCGTGTTCTTTTATTAGAAAATTGTGGGGCAATTTTTAGTCTTCTTAAGAAACTTTAACCCTTTGCACTCGAGGCCTTTTTTCCTGATATCTACCAATAACTCGAGATGCTTTCTTAGCATTCTATTGCCAAGAATGCTAAGATTATATTGACTTCGAAAATGAGATCTCTAATTTGAGATTTGCGTGTCAGGTAATTTTTGCCTCAACGATAATCATTTTATTGGCACTTCGAGTTCCAAAGAAATTAAACCTAAAGGAAACCTAGTGGTGACTGAGAGTCACCTCTAGAGTGCAAAGGGTTGAGAATTCAATGGTACTTTGAAATAAAATAAATGAATCGGGAACTACATTAGTTATCTTCTATAATATATATTATATGTAAGATAATATATAAAATATTATTTAATTTGTTTTTCTTTCATTGTCGAGTTTTTAAACCAATTTTAAAATATTATTCGGTAAATATTATTGAGTTTAAACCTTTAAAATTGAATAAACATGTATGTACAATATATAAGCCACAAAGTACGGAAAAACAAGTAAAATTAATAAAATAAATGAAAAACTATTGAAAAATGTACCATAGAATTCACAAATCTGTTTGTCTCAGAGAAACCAAAAGTGAACATACAATATGTGTCCTGCAAGCCATCGATACCACAAATTCTTCTTTAACCGATACTTTAATTTTGTAAAATTATTAGGTTGTCCCAAAAGTTTCTTTCCTTATATTAATAATTAATACACACACAATATTTTAGTTTTATGTTACATTACAAAATTGTGTACAATTCATTTCGCTCCATTACTGTTACAGCATCAATGTCTAAGAAATTAGATTGTTTATTTATATAAATGCTGCCACAGAAAATAATTGAATGCAACTCACGAAAGAAACTTTTAGGACAATCTAATATAATCCCTTATATGTATGTCATGGTTCTGTATTAATGAACTCGAACACATGTAATGACCCCAAAATAATTCCTTGGAACAAATTTATACAGCGAATGAACTTGGACTAGTTATTTCACTATAATAAATAACTTTGTTGTACTCTGAGTAAAAGTAAAGAGTCAAGGATTTTTTTCGAAATCAGCGCCCCCTCCTGCCAATGAGTTCTCGTCGGCGATCCAATTAACCCCATTCATTATTCCCCGATGAGAAACGAAGATGCCGGCAAGGAGCAGGGGGGGGGGGAGAGAGAGAAAGTACAACGCCTTCTTTCTCTTCTGACAAAACGAATTTCACCGGCGTAAACTCGCACCTACCTCCGGGATCAATTTAAATGGCTATTCAGAACGGCTGAGTTACATTAATTGCGGTGCCGGAGGAAGTCCATTCATTAGTTTCATTGTTATTTCAGGCCGACAAAACCATCCAACGGCCGATGAAAAACAACGACCGCTTCCGTCATTCACCGGACCTCTATTTTCCTCCACCGAGGAAAAAATCTGCTCGGCGACGCGCACGGAAACGTTCCATTTCCAGAGTGGTTTTCGCCCTGACGAGTATTTCCTATCGAGCAACGCGGGGGACACATCGTCCGATAATGCTATGGAATTTTAGTTTATTTTTGTAGAATTTTAGATACAATCACTACTTGGAGCTTTATAGGTTCGTTAAACATTTGCGCTCGAGTGGCGCCTCTAGGGCGACATATGTAATTTAAAAGTGATTTTTTTGAACGTACAATTTCAATTTTACTTATATCATAATACAGTTAATTATTCATTGAAATAATAATACATTGAGACATGAATGTTCGTAGATGTTTCTTTTTGAAGTAGAGTTTTTGGTTTTACAGAAATTTATTGGACGCAAAAATGGACCGGATTTCGTTTGACAGAAAGATGCCTCGAACGCAAAGGGTTAATTTATGAATTAGGTTAACTAGGTATTTTTCTTGCGCTTTCTTTTAAGAAAAGATACGTGTGTCTATGTCGGTGACTATATAAAAAAACACAATTTAAAAAATCAAAATTGTATATAACGCGTAGTAAGTATAACAACTAAACGATTCTTCTTTAAGTCTTATTTTTGGGCGGGAGGAAGTGATTCACTGAAGGACCTGAATTTTAAAATGGAAATTTTGTATAATAAAGGAACCCATGAGAAATAAAGAAAAATGTTGTACAATAACGATAAAGGCGTATAATAATGAATATTATTATTATCTGGCTACTTAAGAATATGAATTTCAAAAATAAAATTTCTGCACAATAAGTGAACCTATAAAAAATAAAGAAAAATTGCATACAATAACGATAAAGGCGTAGAATAATGATGATTGTTATTATCCGGATTTTGGTTCTAAATGAAATAGTAATGTTACATGTGCGTCGTATTACAAGATAAAATTGCGCGTCTCTAACGTTCCCACGTGAAATCTAACAGGAAGTTTCGTTGATCAAGACTCAAAGACTCAATGAATATTGCGAATTGTCCACTTATCCTCAGACCTAATCAAATTTAAACCCTGACCGCATGACGCATCGTATATCAATGCTTTTCGCTCCATTTTTCAACGTTTATCGTACTCGTGTTCATTATATTCGTGTTCAAACATACAGGGAATTTTATTCGTGGCAATTTTATTTGTTAAACTTCATTCCTGAGATCCCACTATTTTAACCCCTTACCAGCCAGTCTATTTAGGAATAGTCTGCAATTTAGAAAAAATTTTCTACAACAACATATGTTGCAGATTCTCATGCATTTATTGGAAAGTGGAATGTGCAGGAAACTGCAAAATGCGTACAGTATGCAATAGTATAGAAAATTATTGTCTAACACTAATTCCTTCATACTGTTACTAGGTGCATGGCAAGCCAAGTTTCCAAAAACCGAACATTATCAGTAGGCAAGCAACAACACTAAATAAGCAGTAACACTAAAGAACATAAACAAGATGTTAAACTTATTCATAATATAAGTAAATTAAAAAATTAGACTGACGAAGTGTTATTAAAACATTGTAAATATACATATAGAGATAAAACTTAGCGACAATAAAAACACTAAAAATCGCAATATCGATGCTAACACTCTATTTCAAGACCCAAAAGCTGTACAAAGTTTTATAAAACCTGAGATGGATTCTTATGCCGTTCTGAATTCTATGTATGAAAATAAATTAAGTAATACATTTCTAAATTTAGCAATTTTACTATTCATTTATTCAACTTTGCCTGTTTCGGTAGCTTCCGGAGAAAGGAGTTTTTCTAAATTAAAAATTATTAAGAAATTTACGTTCTATAATGAGTCAAGAACGATTAACTGATTTCTCAATTATATCTATTGAAAATGACATTCTAGATACATTAAATATTAGTTATTTAATTACAAAATTTGGTGGCAGTCAAAGTTTTTTGTATCAAGGATATTGGGATGAAAGAATGTCGGGAGACTACATTTGGTTCCTCGTCAGAGAAACGAACTCAACGAATAACAGAAGACAAAGCAAAGGCCGAAATTATTTCTAATCGAAATTAATTAAATAAATGTTTCCTACATATAGATAGGAAAAAAAATACAAAAACAGAGTAAAATTGGGATTTTTGTACCTTTACTCAATTGTTCCTAACTCCGGTATTTATCCATAGATTTTCTTCAACAAAAACTTGTTTTCTTCGTAAAAGTGCGATCTATACGTAGACAATAAGAAACTGGACATAATTTGACAATTTCTACTTTTCCATGGCGATGGAAGAAATATTCGTGTTCTATTTTAGCCGAAAAAATCAAATATATATTGGCTCGTAACACTTAAACTGTTGAACCGATTGGAAAATAATGTGAAAAGCAATGGTTGGAAATTCGATTACCTTTAAAATGACGTCTTGCGCGACCCAATCGGACGTTTCTAACTCGAGATATGGCCTAAAATGTGAAGGTATGTCAGAAAAAATCGAAAAAAAATTCATATAAAAAAAGGTATCCATAAAAAAATGTTTTCTTGCGATTTTCGAGTTTAGTAGATCAAAATACATAAGAATAAAATTGTGGCATTGAATGTACATTTTTCTATTTTTATTTTGTAAATAAGTGTCATATTTAGATGGTTAGCATAAACCTGTAAATACAACGAGATACCGTTTGTCATATATATTGGCTCTCATTATAATTAACTACCAAACGGTCACCTTCTTGGATCGCTATTTCGCGAACAACTCGAACAAGCAATCCAAATAAACAAAATTTCGCGTTGTCCTCCGGTCTCTCCGGCAGAAAATAAAACCGCTGAATATTACCCAGTTCTCGGAACTTCGAACAACTCTAGTCCCTTGAATATTCAATTCCCGCGTAAAACGGGAATCCGTGGTTCCAGGAAACGTTGGCCGCCGAGAATACGATATCGTTGCACGAGTAAAAGCGTAATTCGCATAGGGGAACGAGCATAGCCAGCGAACATATAAATTAGAAATGAAGGCAAGCAGGAATCAGTGGCGGGAGAAGCACTCCCCGATCGTTTCAGAAATAAATAAACCAACCCTGCTCCTCCGGGCTGAGGTTATTAAAAAGAGACTAAATAAAAAAAATAAAAAAGGAGTAACAGGAGAGGTAGGCAAGACGTGGAAAGACGAAGACGCGTGGATTCGAGTCGTAGAGACGGCGAAGAGAAGCGGAAGACGAGGAAGATACCTCGCGGGCGGAACAATGGCCGAAAATTGCTGGGCGAGATTGCCTGGAGGAAAAAGCTGCAAGATGCTGGATTTACATAAGAGTCGGAGGGGATGCTGGCCGGCCATTGTTCCCATACCCGCATGAAAAACAACGACGAATTACGCCGTGAGGCGCGAGCCTCGGAATCGACGATGATCCTTAAGAGGATTACGCGATCGTCGTAATTGATCGCTTGGTAAGTAACGGTTTGAGTAATTGGAAAACATGGACGCTCAAACGCCTACTAAATTCAATTTTAGCCCCGTACTCGACTCCCACGACTTTCAATTTTATGTTACGGGAGGTGAGTTCGAGGAACGGACGTGGAGATAGGAAGCGTTGTTGCGCAACTTTTTAGCGATAGTTTATTACTAGACTGCGGATTTTTGTGTATTTATAGGAAAGTGGAATGGTGCAAAAATGTGCAAAATGAACACAGTATGCAATAGTATAGAAAATTATTGAAAGTAAAGTTTGCATGTAAGTTTGACACCTTGTCAAACGTGGTCACCTATACATCTACGTCATGTACGAGACTAAAGGTGGCTGAGAGATGTCCATTGTAAACAACGCACCGGCAGCGGGCCATTCGGCGTTATGTGGCACAGTCGTCTGCCATAGAGTTATTATATTTAGACGATTAGCATAAACCTGTAAATACAACGAGATACCGACATTTGTGTTGATTCAGGTGTGGCATTAGTATTAAGATAGGTTTAACATTTATATAAATCAAAAGTGTCATTTTGGAATTTTATGTGATGGATTACAATGATTATTTGCTGCAACTACGCGTGTCGATTTATTTTCCTCATGTCCCCCCCCCCCCTCTCTCTCGTCTATTAAGTCTCTGATTTCGAGACTTATATGCACTATAACATTTGCTAAGTAAAATAAACTAGGTTTAACCCTTTGCGCTCGAGACATTTTTCTATAGAAACAAATCCAGTCTATTTTTATAATAAATTTCTGTGAAACCAAAAACTCTACTTCAAAGGAAAACATCTACGAATGTTCATGACTAAATGTATTATTATTTCAATTAATGATTAGTTGTATTCTGATGTAAGTAAATTTGAAATTGTACGTTCACAAAATCACTTTTAAATTACATATGTCGCCGTAGAGGCGCCACTTGAACGTAAAGGGTTAATTTTGTTAGGTATATGTGCAAAGATTTTATTTTGCATAAATAACCACAGTCTATTTATTACTTTTAGTGTTTGTATTCACTCAAATCGATAAAATAATGTTGTGAACAGGTAATAGGTGAGTATGACACCTTGACAACAACACTTTCAACCTGACCCTTTTCTTTTGCCCCAAAAAGAATATCGCGGCCCTTGGATCCTCTTCGAAGTGAATCACAGTAACGGGAGATCGATTAATTACCAACAAAGGAAAAAAAAAGCGAGTCGATGCAACGTTTATCAGGGCGATTCCATTGATTTAATAAGCTCCGCAAAACCCTTCAATTAAGCGATAGCGTTACGGTCCATCGGCGACAGCCAGGTTTCAATGCACGACGATATAACTTCAGGGAGACCCTTCTATCGTCGACCACTAAATTCACTAATTACCGTCGTTCACGGAGGCCGAAGCTCCTTCATTAATGTTCGCGACGCGCCTTCGCGCGGTGTCGGATTCAAGCTTTAATTACATCCGTAGAATTTGACGCGTTTAAATCAGATCGCGAGCGGATAGGCGTTACACGAGGAGCGTTTGTCAAGTTCTACGAGAAGAAAACTTTTTTAATTATTGTCTAATTATTTTTATAGACGTTCAAAGATGTGTTTACAGTTACGTAAACTACATCACATTCACGCTAAGGCTAAGAATGATACAAATGATCACTTCAGCACGATTACAACTGGTCTATGGATCTACTACATTGCGGTGCATAACTATAGCACCACTGATATTTTTAATATTTTTTAAACTTAAAAGAAAAATTCAAAGAACGTAGTTGAATATGAAGAATATAATATGAAAAATAATAATATGTAGTATAATAATATGTAGTATAATATGAAAAAGCAATGTAAATAATTAATTTCAGGGGAAATAGACATGAAGTAGTCTAAGTATATATCGAGATAAAGTCGAAAAACATTATAAAATCGGTGCAAAATTATAGCACCACATTCATTTTCGTCACACTTCAAGCGTGTTTGTCACAAAATTTTCATTTAATTCAAAGTTGTATTTATTAATTCATACAATGCCACGCGATAAGTATCTTACTGAAAAATAGCAATGTGAAATTTTAGCTTATAACAAGCTAGAACTGGGAATTAAGGAAACTGCACGTAAACTTGGGCGATTCCCTGAAGTAATATCAAATTTTTTACGTAATCCGTCGAAATATGGCCAAAATAAGAAAGGAGGACCTAAGAAGAAACTATACCCACGTGCTGAAAGGCAGATTACTAAAATTGGGAGCAGTAGTTTGAAAACCTGTCGGGAAATTACAGCGAAATGTAGACTCGAAGTGTCACGTTGGATCATTCAACGTGTCTGCAGAAGGAATCCAAACATTGCCAGACAAAAACTAATTTCACCACCCGTTCTTTCTAAACGCCACAAAATAGCAAGAATGGAATACACCCGCGAAAACATGAATAAAAACTAGAATCATGTAAGTTTAATGTTAATCGACAAATTAAGAGGTGACATTATTTTCTTCCATTTAACGTTCTTTGGTAGGTAATATTATCCGATGAGAAAAAGTTTAATCTCGATGGCCCGGATGGGTTCGATTGTTACTGGAGAGACCTACGAAAAGACCCAAAATATT